GCTTCGGTTCAAACAGGTGCTCTACGAGGTCTTGCCATGGTGAATGGAAAAATTTCGAGGAGCGTAGCAAAGCTCTGATACCAACCTGGCGCAGCGTATCAACGGTAACTCAGCTCAAATTTAGGGATTTAGGTTAAATCTCTAGAGATCTGACTTCTTGGGTTGATGAACTTAATCAAAATCAACACAAGACTCTTGAATTGATGACAGGATCGAATCAATGCAAGGCTATAGAGAAAACTCTAGTTTATCATCTTTCAAAAACTGAATATTAAAACCAACTTACAATGCCTTATATAGGACTTAAGAGACGGTTTATAATAACCTGATTCTCGTCAAAATAGGAAATCTAATAAATGGAAATCAAAACAAGTAAAGGAAATCTTATAAAAGCCAACATGGGAGACTAGTTGCTTGGCGGTGAAGGTATCATGATGCTGCATCACTCTACAACAACAAGGAAGGCATCAAAGCCTAAATACATCAAAAGGATGAAGAAATGGAGACTCTCAAATACAAAGAAAAGGCGCCCACAACAAAGGAGCACAAAGAAGGCCACAACATGATGAGATCAAAGAAGAAGCTGCCCTGAAAATGGCAAAGTGTAGATAGTGTGAGAGTGTTGAGAAAGGGTAGTTAGGATTGGGTCTGATTTGGGGTATGAGTTTTGGGGTTTATAACATTCTTAGGCATTGGGTAGATAGTAATTTATCCTTGTATGCATAAGTTGTGCTTAACCTTTAGCATTATGCCCAAGTTCATTCCTTTTTGAGAGAAACCCTTACACTTGAATCCATATTTTAATGAGATTATTTTTATCTCATAACCTTGACCCTTAGCCAAATGATTCCTCTTGATTTGCTTGAAATTGATTCACTTGGTTACAAATTTTAAGTGAATGTTAAAGGGATTGATTGATTTGAGCATTTGACTAGGCTGAGCTAGAGATCATTTTGAAACTGGAAAGGCAAGGCTAAGTTCTTATTAGTATGACTGATTGTGTTTTGCATCCTACACTTAAGCACTTAGACATTGACTTTACTTCTTTACCTTAGCATTTTTGGATTTGAGTGCCCACCTTCAAACCTCACTTCCTCCTTGTCTTAGTTTGTTTGCTTGAGGACATGCAAAAGGAAAGTGTGGGGGTGTTGATATCTCCATTATTTATACCATTGTAGCTTGCATATATCACTAGTTTTAGTCTTTAAACATGCATATTTTGCTTCTTCTTGTCCCATCTGTATACATTTAGGAGTTAGTGTAGTTTTAGGAGCTGCATTGCATTTTTCATGCATTTGGAGTTTTATTCAGGTACTAGAAGGAGTGTGGAGGTCATGTGGTGCAATGGGTGTGAGCTGGGAATGGAGCAAGGCAAGGGAAAAAGGCGGATAGGCTAATATCGATGATGATGTCGACATCATCTGATCGATACGAAGCATATCGATGGGAGTATCGACCACTTCAGAATCGATACAGTAAAAGCATGGTGAGAAGGAAGCCTATCGACTATGAGACACCTCGATGCAACAGAAGGGAGTCCATATCGAGCAGTGTATCGACGTCCCAGACCGATACAATGACAGGATAATACCGAGGTGCCAAATCGACTTGCTTGACCGATAAGCCTTAACTAAAGGGCGGTTGTATCGACTTCACACCATGGAGAGCCAAACCGATACAACATAGGAGCCTTCTGTATCGACGTGCATATCGACAAAGAGACATCGATACAACCCAGAAAAAGAGGTGATATCGACATGTGTATCGATGTTCAAAGCCGATATGGTCTGTCCGAGTCAGCTTGTTTTCAGTTTAATCTTGGTTTACTAGGGGTTTTCTAGTTCTCTTATATATACTGAAGTCCTAAAATGGTTAGGCATCTTGGATCTTATTATCTTTCCTCTGTTCTTGCACTTAAAACCTTTCCTTTTTCAGTTTGCTTTGTAAGAACTAGTTTGATTTAGTGAATTTCTGTATTTGCCTTTCATCTATTCTTGTTTATTCTGCTTCCTAATCATGCTTAAGCATTATTTCTCTTTGGAATTTGTGGTTTTGACTATGGCTAGTGAGTAGTCTTATTTACGGTTTGAGATAGGATAGATTAGAGGGGTTTTAGGACTAGATTAGTGATGTCTTGTGCTTAATATGATTGTCTTCTCTCTATTAGATGTGCTTAACACTAGATTAGTCTTGGCCAGGCTTGTTTAGTATTTTGGCTTTCTCTTGCGCCTGTTAAGTGTTTGATGAAATGCTGCTTAGAGTCTCTTTGAGGATTTGTATGCTTAGCCTAAGAAATTAGATGTCTAAGGTGCATTTTGGCTTTATAGGATTGGAATTCTGTTTTGTATGCTTGCTGATCATGTGTTTGAGTAAAAGGATTTATCTTGAATGTGTGCTTAGCAAAGTGATTAGTGTCAAGGAATTGAGCTAGTTATAGTTGTTAATCATATGCCTAGAAGATAACATTGTTTGAATAGTTTTGAAGCATCACTAGTTAGGTTATAATCCCCTCTTAATCAATAACCTTCATCTTAGATCCTTACTTTATCTATTTGAATTTCCTGCTTTGCTTAGTTCAGTCTTTAGATTTGTTTAGTTTGTTCACAACTGTTTTCTTGAATTTAGCTTGACTTAAGTGATTTACTGTATTCTTGGTGTCTTAAGAACTCAGATGGATTGATACCTTACATGCTGCAATAACATGAGTATGTTTTGATTTGCTTAGCTAGTCAAATACAAGCTATCATGCATATATATGTATGTAAGTATGAGGTACGAATAAGTGAATTATAATATTTTGGTATTGATTAGTTTTTCTGATATTTTCCGCAATATAATGTTTTTACACGATGCAGTTTTCTGCATTTAACAACAATCACAAAAATCGTTTCTATCATTTAGTATATAACTAAAATTTATAATTTTTCAGTATTTTATGATATATGGTTTCAAACAAACTCTAAAAAACATTAAAATATAAGATTTGACGTTACCATGAAAATAATTATAGTACATTGGATAATCTATACGTAATTTTCTTTTTTTAATAAAAATTATAATAAAACTTTTATATAAAATTTGTGAAATTATATTTTATAAAATTCTTCGGTAGCTCTCCGATCATCTCTTCGTCCAATATTGGGTGTTAGAGCAGAAAATTTTTTATGCTTGATTTGCACGTATGTATTTATTATAAATTTTAGTACACACATGTGTTTATTAAAAATAATGCGTCTTTTTAAGATTTTTTAAATGACTTTGTCAAAAAAACTGCGATATTTTTTACGAAAAACAAAGACTGTGAAGTTTTATTTTTGTTTTTACTTCTTATTTATATTTGCTTCATCTTTTTATCATTTATTATTTTATTCAATTATTTTTTATTTAATTTATGATCTCAAATTCTAGATATACAATGAAAATGCGTATATATATGAATATGATATCAACTTTTGTTTTTATGTAAAATATGATAAGAGATAAGATGAAATGGTAACAAAAACTATATAAATTTCAGAAAATAACAGTATAAAATTTTTTAAAATTATATACAAATATATGGTCATACTAATATTATAAAATAATAATTAGTATATACTTTTTTCATTTGGCATAATAAGTAATGGTTAGAAAAGACAAATCAATAATGTATCTAATTAAAATCCTTTTAGATGTTATTATTAGAAATTATCATAAATTCATAACTTTCCAAAATAAGAATATATCATACTTTAAACATTATTAATATATAAAGTATTAACTATTTTATTGGATAATGTAATATATTTGTTTCCTTTTTTATATATAAATATATATATATATATATGTATATATTGTTGTAAAAATTTTGTAGTAATATTTTTTGCAATTATGAATATATGTAAAAAAATTAATCATAATAATTATCAATTTTTTCTTAATTTAAATTTAATTATAATCTAGTGTATTTATGTTTAATTTCGAATTTCTTTAATTTTAACTCAGCCAATCAAAATATTTAGTTTATTTTAGGAAATTTGACATGTCACAATTACATGTTATCAATAGAATATACTAACTTTGGTTGTGAGTGTGACACATCAGCAATTTTTACTAATTGTACTTCTCAAATAATGTGTAAGGGATAAGTCAAAGAAACACATGTACTTAAAATACATATATAGGCAAGGTTATATTATGTAAGGAGAAAAAAAGTATAGTATATAAAAAAAATAATTATTATTTAATGACTTTATATTTACAATTATATATTATTGTAAACGTTAGAAAAATTATTATATATTTTAATGTTCTTCAATTTATTTAGTTATCATATTTACACTTTTTATCTAAGAAAATAATTTAAAATCTTGGTTAATTTTTTTTTGCCCTCAATTTCTATTGAAATCTATAACTTTTTTCATTTGATTTATCATAATTTTTTTTATTTTTGAAGGTTCATATAATACTATTATTAATATATAATTAAACATGTATAAATACAGCATATTCAATATACAGTATTACTCAAATATTAAACATATAAACTATTTTATAGCCCGCACACGGTGCGGATCGATCACCTAATATTTATTATTCTCACAAAATCTCATAAAATTAATAGTCAATTTTTTATTATTTTAAAATAATAATTTTTGAAAATTAATTGATTAATTGATGGTATGTATTTATTTTGGATAATTTTAATTAAGTTATGTTTTTACACCCAAAAAAAGTTATTTACATTATCAAACTTAAAGAAATTTGAGGTTATTAATTTTATTATATTTTACACATAAAAAATTTCAATGTTTTACACAAAAAAAACTATCACTCTATCCCAAAAAAACTTTAATTACTATAAATATATTTTGTTTTAAAAAATAATAAACATTGAAAAAATATATAAATTTTATCTAACTTTATATGTTTTAGTCATTTATATTTTCAACAGTTTGAAATTTAATTACAATTTTTATTTTAAATAAAAAAAATATAAATTATAATAAAAACACTTATTCCAGGCAGGCGCGAAGTTATAATCTAGTATATTTGAAAATCTGAAACCGAATTCGATCCAAACTAGAAAAGGTACCCCAAAAAATGTCGAACCCAACTTTTGACTTAAATGAAAGTTCAGATATATAGAGGCTTAAAAACCGAATCTATCCCTGAAACAAGAATCTACCGGTGATATGTGTTTCTGTACATTGTAAGACTATATACCAAAGGTTTCGCATCATTCAACAAGAAAGAACCAACTCGTCATCTTTTCCTGGCATCAATAAACATAGCACGAGTCCAGTGCTCAACATCCTCTGACTGTGATGGTGGTGGCGGGTATTTCGGATGCTCCACCAAATCCCATCCGTTCGTATCGTTGTTCTTCCGAATCTCTGATGATTCAGTTGCAGAGAGATAACTTGCTGCTGTGTTCGGATCCTGGTTATAGCTTAAGTTCCTCTGCAAATAAAATATTAGTTTTAGATGTAAACACAAAACACATAAACTGGTTTTGCAAAATGAAACAATTATTCGATGCAGTTTACGTGCCCGATTCATCGAATTAAAACGCCAGATGAACCCATCAACATTAACAAACTTTTGTACTATGTTATTGCTAGAAGTTATATATGAATTTTAAAAAGTTGGATGTAGGCCTGCAACTTTTACCGGAACCAGAGTTTCCAAACCGAACCGAGATTTTCGGTTTTTGGTTCTGTTAGAACCGATTGGCAGCATTTCAAAATGGATTAGGTTATCTGTTCGTGTCGAGTATGACTACAAATATATTAAAATTTTTGAACTGAAGAAACGAACTAACCAAATTTACCAGAATTTACCCAACTTTAATAGCATTTAACCGAATATGAACCAAGAAACCAAAACAATTCGGTTAGTTTAGGTCAAAAATTGAATACCCGAAACTACCTGAACCAAATAAACCGACTAAACTAGCATGATTCTAAGGCGATTAATATTGGAAGTAGCATGTACCGGAAGATGGGCGCTTTCCAGAATGGAGCTTGAGATGACAGAGTGAGCACTCCAAATGGATTTGTTGAGTTGTTGAGCTTGCTTGCATGATCTGCATCATCAGAACACATAAACACATCAAGAAACCACAGAGTTGCATATAAAATTCAAGGCTCTGATTGGTAACACTTGTGGATTCCACAAGTGGAATGGTGGAAAAACCCAAAAACGCAAGAATTTTGCCAATAAAAAAAACATGCGTTAACATAAGATCTGCGTAATTGCGTTTTTGCTTACAGAAAATACAAAAAATCTTCATTACGGAAAATCGTGTTTGGAATAAATTATTTGCGGAATCAATATTTATATTATTCAATTATATTTTATTATTTAAATAAATACAAATAAATAATTTAGTGTTACAAAAAATTATTTAATGATAAAATTTTATCTATTATTTCAGGTTTGCAATATTTTTTTTATGAAAAACAAATTATTAAAAAGTTACAATTAGAATTCTATCATTTTATAATAATTGATTGAATTATTAATATTTTATTTTTTATAATATATAGTAAAAAGCAGAATATTTTCAATAAGTATATTCTGCAATTCCGCAATTCCGCCATAATTTATCCAATCGTATTAAAAAAAAAGTTCTGCAATAAATTATTCCACAATTCATTTTTTCCGCTATTCCGCAATTCCGCGATATAAAAAATGTGTTACCAATCGGAGCATGTGAAAAAGGATGAACAAGCTTGATATGTTTACCTTGAAGAAGTCATTTTCAGGGAGAAAACAGACCGGACCTCCTTCGACGAGGAAAGCGTAGCCAATAACTTGGCAAATGCTTCGAAAGTCGAGGCCTCGGGAGGTACTTCAAGGCAAAGCGAATTGTAGCAATACGCCGTCAAGCAAGCAACGCTTTTCTTGAGAAGAGCTATGCCTTTCTGCAAATCTCTGTGTGACTCAACTGAATGAGGAGAAGCAGAGGAGTAATTAAAGCTGTTGCTTCCCGTAGAGTTCAGTCGCGCTTCTTTTCTATCGGATTCCATTGAAGCAACGCCGAAATCGCTCGAGTTTTTATCTGTCCATGAGTTTTCAACGCCGGTTGAACAATAGTTTTGGCGCGGTATGAAGAGAGGGTACTCGTTGCTGCAACATAACAATACAATGTTAAGTTTCACTCATGTATGTATGTAATTATAGCTGGGCAAAGTTCCACAACCAAAACGAATTATATAATAATCATATATTATAGCTAGGTAAGTAACTCTTGCACAGAAAACAAAAAAAGCTAGGTCAATAACTAAATATATCAAAAATTTACAATTTTAACTATAATCAGCTCATTATTTTACCTTTTGTTTTAAATTTTCATTACGAAAATAATAACAATTATATATATTTGCTTTCATTATAAATTTACTTTTGAAACGTAATCAAATTAAACAAAAATAAAATTCTAACCCAAATAATTTTTTTTTCTAAACCTCCATAACCCGAAACCCGAACCAAATCGAACTATAATTTAGTCCCGAATGGGACCTATTATCTAGAACCCGAAACAACCGAAACAACCGAAACCCGAAAAACCAAATGCTCACCCTTAGGTAAAGGGAAAAAATTGATTGTACCTTCGAGTAGAAGGACGTGCGTCCCAATAGGAATCTCGCTGCCATATGCGCGAGCAAGAGCCCTGTGTGGTGATAACCAACAGACATGGACGAGTTTACAAGTGAACTAAATCTTTTATGAGCGATGGTTAATATGTACGGTGATTTTATCCACTTCCAATGCAATCTATTGAAGATAAACAATCATACCGCAAAACCTGAGCTATGGAGTGCAGGAGCGGCTAAGTTGTGAACAACTAGGTTCAGAAGCTGCACCATCAACCTAATCCACATTTCAGAAAATGTCTTACAATGCCAAACTTATAAAATATTAATATACCGAAATGCGTAGCCTTAAAAAAAGAGATCACAGGATCGCATGAAGCTTGGAACAAAGACTATACTACAAAAAAAATGAATGTAACGTCATGTATTTATTACCCCAAAGACGCAGTGAGCTCTTCTGATGGGATTGAATGAGGGTCCAGACCTTTCGGGAGACGTGAATTGCAAATGAGATTATACTGACCAACTGCACCATTCTGACTCTCTCCATCAAGACTAACCTGGATACAGTGCAGAGCAACTAGTGTAAAAGCAGTAGTCCGAGAAGCTAAACATATACCACTTGTGAAATCAAGCAAATGCCTATGAAATAATTTCAGGAGTTGTATGCAAACAGAGAGAACTAGTAATACGTACTCGACGCTGAGGGAACAATTTGCATATTTGTTTCACAACCACAGACTGTTTATGAAGGCGTTCAGATGAGATTGCCATCTGCAATAAAAAAAATTCAACACATTACATTGCATTAGAGATTTCATATCCATGAACCAATCCAGGAGCGATATAAAGTTCCCTTACATGGCCAAGGCTCTGCGTACATATAAGATTGGGAAAATACTTCTCCACTTGTTCAACTCTAATTTTTTCCAGCTGCAAACACATATCAAAACAGTATATCAATGAACTGTTAAAAAAAACCTGCTCTTTCTTTCACAAATGCATCATTTTCATGATTTATGAAGCACTGATTTTCCTACCGTGGAGCGAGCTGAATCAAGGACTCCATATTTAAGTTTGAGATCACGAGATTCTCTTTCAATCTTAGCCTTCCCTGTAAAAGTTACATAAAAAAAAGCATTACCTTTGATAGCCGGGTAATCGAAACCTAGACTAATACCTGAGGACTAAAGAAAGACAGGTATTCTCGCCAGTTATGGCGTCTATCGAGATTTTCGTATATTGTGAAAGTTTTAGAGCACATGACACATAAGAAGTCCAAAACCCTATGTAACTAGGATTCTTAGCAAGATATATATTCTAATTATGTGTGTAATGGCTTCAAGAGTTGCCTTCATCTTTTATGAAATCAAACTAGAATCGTTTTGTTCTTGGTGATAATCTAAAATATCTATCCTTTTCTTTAGTTTTTGTATTTGAAAAAACTCCTTTTATATCTTCATCTTCTATCTGCCTAAGCTCATTTAAGCTTGAATCTATCTTTGCTTTGAGTTTACTTTAAGAAACTTGATCCCTGTCCTTAACCCAAATCCTCTACCGACCCAAATCCTCTACAACAAAACACAAACTCTTGGTTAGGAGTGATGCTATGTAGACTCAAAAACATACCTTGAGTCACTTGTTCCTTGATTCTCCTAAGTTTATTCTTCAAATTCGAAAGCTTCTCATTTTGAAGCAATCTCCAATTCTTCTGATAATCAGCTTTTCCCTAAAACCGTGAATTATGAGTTACAGAACAAAAAGAGATAACAAAGACTGATACTTCGCGGAATCTCGTGACACAAAACCTTAGCTTCCAAAAGCTCACTCAGCTTTGTATACAAAGAATCTCTTCGAGTCTTTAGTGACTTCAACAAAGTGTTATACTCAATCAATATGTAAAATCAAAAAAAAAAAAAAAACAAAAAAAAATAATTAAATATCCGAAAATCGAAAAAAAAGTATGATATTGGTGGAATCGATGTTACCTATGATTAACGCAAACGCTACAGATAGAAGCTCGATTTGTATTCTCGCAAATAGCGCAGTTACTGGATCGTTTTATCATCGTCTAATCCTTAGTTTCCTAAGAAATTTTTCTGATTCAGAAGATTTTTGGAACAGTGGATTTTAGGCTGCGAAGGCGAGACGGAGGAAACTAGAGTACGCACGAGTACGCTTTTTGTGGTCACCAAAGAAAAGATTCCGGGCAGAATCACCGGTGGTGTATGGTCGGAGTCAGAGAGAGGAATATTTTACAGTTGTAGGGGTACTCTCGTAGACAAGAATCAATGGCTGCTTATCCTTCTCGTTCAAAAAAAAGATCCCGATTGCCTCGTTATAAAACTCATATATTTATCTAATTATTTTAATGCTAATTTTTATTAATTTACTCTTCTCTTTCAATTTCAATTAATTACAAACTCAACCATTAAACTTAGATTCAATCCATCCCATAAGAGATCCGAACCTAAAATCAACTTAGATCGATTAAAACTTTAAAATTTTTCACTTTTTTTCAGTTTTCAGTTCAAACCATCGGATGCAAAATAAACAGACACGAAATCCTAGCTAAGTCAGTCCTATTCATCTTTATATTCTCCAATTTTGTATCATCTTTCTCCTCTTTCTTCTCTGAATTCCTTCTCCTCTTCTTCTCTTCCCCCTTAATCACTTTACTCTCTGAATTCTTCAACTCTCACTCTCCTCTTTCGCTGAATTCCAAGCGAGATAACAATGGCGTCTAAAGGTATGTTGAATTCCAGAATTTCTCTATTATTTCCTCTATAATATGTTGATCGAGAAGAGACATGACTTAAGGAAATATATCAACTGGATTTTCTTTTACAATTCAATAATTTTCATTATTGTTTTCTTGATGTTATACTGGAGTTTGATTTTATTTACCCATCGACTTGTGTCTATTGATGTCTTAATAGTTACGAACTTCTTGTGTGATTGTAGGAGTTAGTGTGGATCCGTCAAGAACAAGAAGGAAGCAGCATCAGAATCTTGGCGAAGGAAGCAGCCTCAGAACCGGATTCGTCAAAACCTTGACGAACTCTGATGATGAGGAGAACCTTACTGTATGTAGTTAGATGAATTATTGTTTAAACAAGTATGTAGTTAATATATCATGGTTTTTATGGTTTTTAACCATGATATAAGTCCTTTTTATTGAGTCTTTTTGGTCTTTTTAGAGTCCTAGAAGAGTCTTTGCAGGTTAAAGCATGTCTGGAGCATAATTGGAGATATTGGAACCTTTTGGAGCATTCTGAGTTGAAGCCACGAAGTACCAAGATCGAAGCAGAAAGTATTCACTAATGGTGACGATCGTCACCCCATTGGTGACGCTCGTCACCCAGATAGGAAGGAGCGTGGCTATTTGTTAAAAGTATCAAGAAGAATTGCAGAACTTACCCAGAAGTTTCCTTTATTTATATGAAGACCCCAGATCGTGTTTAGCCCCTATATATTAGGTTTTTCAGCCACTGTTGGCAAGAATCTTAGTTTTGAGAATTGAGAGAGCTAGAGAGAGATTTTATTCAGAGCTTTTTGGGGAGACAAATCCTGTACTCTTTAGAGAAGATTTCGAACCCCCTTTGTTTTCTACTCTTTCTCTTAATGCAATTTTATTCAGTTATGTTTTGTGATCTCATAATCATGTCTGAGTAATCTGCTAGTTAAGTTAGGGTTTTTCAAAGGTTGATGAAAAGAGTGTAGAATCGCTATCTGTTAGGATTATCTCATGGTTTTTCATCTCTGCTTGCTTTAAAATCGAATTTCTGAGACACATCATCTAGGAATCCGAAAATCATAGGTTGTTAAATATTTGTGAGAGCATTATTCATAACCTGAACTAGTATTTGATGAGCAAAACAACTTAGTACAAAGAGATTTGGCTTAGGAGTTTTGTAAACAATTGAATCTGATCATCCCTGCATACTTAGGTTGTTAGGGTTTGCAAAGAGATTTGAAACTCTGTGATCTAGGTATAGATAACTTCTACAATGAGAATTGATTAGTTATGCATTAGAGATTCATGTTTAAAAACGGTTCTTAATCATTCCTGATTTCCTGCATTCTGCATTCTTGGATTCATACCTGCGAATTACCCTAGCTTAGCGCTTTTAGTCTTCCTGAACTTAGAACATAGCATACCATCGTTTGCTTATTTCTAATTATTCATTCGCATTACATACATCATATTTCGCTTAGCTTAGTCCAAATCTATAATTGATAGTGTAGTTAGCATTACTCTCTTGGGATTTCGATACCCCTTATACTACATCTGCTTTGCTGTGCACTTGCAGTAGTTTTTATTTGGGTAAAACCTGAACCCTAACAAGTTTTTGGCGCCGTTGCCGGGGAGTAATAGCTGCCTATCGATTTTTAATATTAGGATTTTGTCTAAGTTTTTATTTGTTTACTGACTTTCAGCTACTTTTCTTTGTTCCTGTTTTAGGTGTATGCCTAATCGCAGAACCAGAAGCAACAAAGAGAAGGAGCTTGTGACTTTGAGCATCGACGAGCTTGCTAGGTTGGAGAGAACTAACAGGAAAGCTAAGAAGCAATCTGCAATGGTCGCTCCACTGATCTTGGTTGAAGATGCAGAAGGTCACTTGGTTGACAGGGAAGGAAATAGGAGGAACGAAGAGGGGCAGAGAATTGATCAAGAGGGGAATGTCATTGTTGAACAGCAGGTTCAGCAAGTGGCTGAGAACGTGGGAGTCCCTGCTGCTGTCAATAACGCTGCTGGGCGTTTTGTTCAGAGGACTCTAGGTGATTACAACAGACCTGATCAGTTCTATGCCAACAGAGCTGCAATCCGACCTCCTGCCTTCCAGAGGAACGATTTTGAGGTTAAACCTGTCTACTATCAGCTAGTTGGACAGCATCCCTTCCATGGTTTACCTCATGAGCATCCTATGGATCACATAGAGAGGTTTGAGGACCTAGCTTCCAGTGTCAAAGCTAATGGGGTTAGCAATGACTTTCTGTTCTGCAAGCTTTTTCCCTATTCTCTTGGAGGAGAAGCTGCATATTGGCTAAAGCAACTGGAACCTGCTTCACTAACTACTTGGGAGGACACCAAGAATGCTTTTCTGAACAATTTCTATGATGATGCCAGATCAGAAGACATGAGAACGAAAATTGCATCATTTACACAAGGCCCTACTGAAGCTTTCAAGGCTTCTTGGATCAGGTTCAAGTCTTATCAGAGGGACTGTCCTCATCATGGTTTCAGTCAGGTGCAATTGCTTGGGATCTTTTTCAGAGGAATTGACTGGAAATATCAGATGGCGTTGGATGCTTCAAGCAGTGGAAACTTCAATACCAACAGACCAGAGGAGGCGGTGAGACTGATTGAGAACTTGGTCTGCAGCAACAGCACTAAAAATGCAGACTTTCAGAGAATGAAACAAGCTGGTGCAGCTGATGGAAATCAGATTGCTGAAGTTAAGGCTAAGTTAGATGATATGCACAGCCTTTTGGTAGGGAAGAAGTCAGTTCACTTTGCTGCAGAAGTAGAGACTTTCGAAGCTCCAGAGGAAGTTGAGCAGGAGGATGTAAATTTCATCAACTCTGGCGGATTTCAGGGACAAAGGTATGGGAATCAGCAGTGGAACAGAGGATACAGCAACAACAATCAGAAAAATGCCCCTACAGGAGGACATAACACGTCTGGTTTCACTCCTAGACCCCCTTTTCAGAAGACAGAGTATCAGAAGCCATTCCAGAGCAGTGGAAACTACAGAAACTATGGTTCTACTTCCTATCAACCAGCACCTCCACAAGAGAACAAAATGGAAGCAATGTTCGAACAGATTCTGGAAGGACAACAGAAGCTTACTGTGAACTTCAATGGCAAGATAGATTCGCTCTATCAGGACCTGAATGGGAAAATTGAGAGTCTGAACTCTCATATGAAGAAGCTTGATGTTCAAGTTGCTCAAACTGCAGGAGCTGTTCAGAGGCAAGAAGGATTTCTTCCAGGAAGAACTGATGCCAATCCCAAATACCACGTGAATGCCATCACATTGAGGAGTGGAAGGAACCTGCAACCAGTGTTGCAGAAGGATATAACCTCAAGAAATTTCGTGGGTGTAGAAGAGTATGAAGATGAAGAAAATTTTGCTGCAGAACCATTGGTGACGATCGTCGCCAATAATGGGTGTCGCTCGTCACCCAATGAGGACAACCCCGAGCCTGATTCTTCACTTATTGGTGACGACCGTCACCAAGGGAGTGACACTCGTCACCCAAATCCAGTACTCGACCCCGACTTGTCCAAAGTGAGTGACGCTCGTCACCAGTCCAGTGACGCTCGTCACCAGTCACCACATATTGCAGTTTCGCCTAAGACTTCAGATAATGCTAAGGAGACCGTGTATAAACCCAAGATACCCTATCCTAAGCATCCTAAGAAGTCTAAGCAGGAGCTTGAGGATGCCAGATGCAAGGCTATCATGGACAAGTTGGTGATAGAGATCCCATTGATTGATGCTGTAAGGATCACTCCTGTTATTAGGAGGTATGTGAAGAGAATGGTGACCAACAACTTGAGCCTTGAGGTTGGAGCTATGATGATCAACGAGCAGGTCAGTGCAGTGATTCAGAACAGAGTTCCAGAGAAGCTTTCAGACCCAGGAAGCTTTGTTTTAGACTGCACCATCTTCAATGACAAGTTTGAGAGGTCATTGTGTGACCTTGGTTCTAGTGTGAACCTCATGCCCCACTCTGTTGCAAAGAGTTTGGGGATGACTGATTTTAAAACTACAAGGATATCTCTTGTCCTAGCTGATAGATCAGTTAGAGTTCCTGAAGGGGTAATAGAGGATGTTCCTATCAAAGTAGGAGATTGTATGATCCCTACTGATTTTGTGGTTTTAGAGTATGGAGAAGAGCCCAAAGACCCCTTGATTCTTGGCAGACCCTTCCTGGCCACTGCAGGAGCTATTATTGACGTCAGGAAGGGTAGAATAGAGCTGAATGTTGGCGATTTAGTGATGAAATTCGAAATGGACAAGCTGATGAAGAGGCCAACCATAGATGGACAGACTTTTTATGTTGATGTTCTCACAAACATTGCTGATCAGATCTTCCATGAGATGAGTTCAGATGACCCCTTGGAAAGGGCGTTGACCACTTCTACAGCTGAGTATGAGCATTTAGATGCTGCTGCAACAGGCTACACAAAGATGATGGATGCTACTGCACAAGTTATGCAACTGGTTGCACAGGATGAACTTGTCTCCACATCTGCAAAAGCCGCCACAATGGGTGACTGGTCAGCAGCAAAAGCACCAAAAGTTGAGCTTAAACAGCTCCCTGCAGGGCTAAGGTACGCATTCCTAGGAGAAAACTCCACCTATCCTGTTATTGTTAATGCTTCATTGAACAATGCAGAGCTCACCCTATTG